TACGTTTATTGATTTGCATATGTTGAACCAGCCTTGCATCCCAGGGATGAAGCCCACTTGATCATGGTGGATAAGCTTTTTGATGTGCTGCTGGATCTTTAAATGTCACATCTTTGGTCTAGGGCCGTATTCTATTTCAGTTGATCGAGACTGTGACACAGGTACATTCTTCCCAATGCCGTGGTTCTCAGGTTATCAGGAATAAAGCATTTGTACGTGTGAGGCTTCCTGTAGGGCGTCTTCTCTACTTGCATATTGTAAATAAAAGCATGCACTCCTCAGCATGTTCTGCTCAGTTCCCAAATCTTCCTTCCATTACTGAGGGAGGAAAGTCACATAAGAATATCCTAGAAGACAAACTTAACCAGACTTATTTCCCTCTTGTTTTGTTAAGTTGGATATTCATCATTTTGTTTGCTGAAAGTATATTGAAGAGGTGCCAGTTGGACAGGGTATTTGTGAAGAGGCAGCCTGAGTCATTAGGGAATTCTCCTGATGCCTTTTTGTTCTGTGTGTGCAGCCATTTTGCCTTCAGTCCAGGCATTGGAAGGAGTGGCAGGTCCAAACGTCATCCTTAACATTTGTAGGCAGGCCACAATATTCACACAAGGATGAATTATTATAAATCTAAATGTTGGAAGGCTGAGGCAGAGGAATCACTTTAGCTCAGGAGGTCGAGGCTGCAGTGAGCCATGACTGAGCCACTCACTCCAGCCTGGGCAACAGACCAAGACCCTGTCCAAAAAAGAAAAGTCTAAATCACTTGAAAATTCCACTTCCACCCCAGATTCTGCCTGCATTTTACCCTTTATTTGCACTGATGTTTTCATGCTTCTTTTCTCTTATAATGAGAATATGAAGTAAAATTACAACCACAGATTAAATCACTTTTTTTCTGTAATTGCACAGTTCTCTTAAAATACTTGAAGTTGACAAATTGATGAAGCTCAGTCTCTTTGGGAAAAGAAAGAGAAAGAGGCTGAGACAGACAAAAATACACAGAGATAGAGACAGAATTAAAACAAAGTAAAAGTTTGGTCAAATATAAGAATACGGTTCTTATTAAAATGCTTCTAAATATTTCATTTTTTGCTGTTTTGAAAACCAAACATATTACTATGATCATTAACAGGAGACAGTGTGTGGGATTCATGTTTCAAATTTTAAAGTATAAAATTATGTGAGTAACTTTGTTTTCCAGAGTTTAAGGCCAGAAACAATAATTTATTTTATGAATTTTCTATAAACATGTTAAAACACTTACCTTTTAGTGTATGGCACTTTTACTCAACTTTTAAACAACTAAAAGGGAACCAACTTAAACAATATATGAATCAGTCTCCTTAATGCAAGTTTGCTTATTTGATTCTTTTAATAAAATATTAGTCATTATTTGCATCCCGCAATTCTGTGGAAACAAAGCATCACAACTCTGAATAATAATTGTTTCTCGTGTTGTAAATAAGCCAATAGAGTGGGATGGTCCATTCTCTGGTTAAAACTTACATATTCTGAGAAAATGGTCATATATTTTTTCATTGGTTTTCATTGTTATCTACATTATATACATTGCTTTGCCTAGTCACATATATATACACACACACACGTAGATGCACACAAACTATAGAATAAACGTGAACTGTAGAAATGGCAGTGTGTATCAACCGCTATGGAAACATATTATAAAACAGTTAATTCTGCAGAAGGATGAGAAGGATGGTGTTTCAGGACAGCTAGGAAATGCAGACATTTCAGCTGAGCTTTGAAGCGCTAGAAGTTTATCAGCTGGGCTGGCACATTAGATAGAAATAATGGATACATGAACCTTGATGGCAGGTGGAGTAAAGGACAACCGTTTTTTTCTAGATTGAACATAGGGTCTTGGGACTGACAAGAGGAATGTCTGGGGAGAATGAACCCTCACTCGGCCTTGGCGTGTTTCACTTCGTTGAATTCCAGGTGTTTTGCTAGTTCCCGTGGCTTTGTCCAACAGCATTTCCCAGCATCAGGGTCCTCAAGGCCCCTTTCATATCTTTGTTTCTCAGAGTGTAGATAATGGGATTTAAAAGGGGGGTGACTACGGTATAGAAAAGAGAAACAAACTTTCCCTGGTTTTTGGATCTACTATTGGCCGGTTGAAGGTACATGAATATGATGGTCCCATAGAAAATGACGACCACAACCAGGTGAGAGGAACAGGTCCCAAAGGCCTTTTGGCGCCCCGCAGCTGATTGTATCCTTAACACAGCTTGGGTGATAAAGCCATAGGAGACTAAGATGAGTAACACCGGGACTACTAGAAAGACTACACTGGCCACAAAGAGTTCTGCCTCGTTGAAAGTCGTATCCACACAGGCCAGTTTGATGAGCACTGGCACCTCACAGAAAATATGATCCAGTTTGCGATGACCACAGAGAGGCAGCTGCACAGTGAGGGAGCACTGAACCAGGGAGGTAACGAGGCCGCTGAGCCACGCTACACTGGCCAGAGACGCACAGAGCCTCGGGTGCATCATGACTGTGTAGTGCAGTGGCCGGCAGACAGCAGCATAGCGGTCATAAGCCATGACGGCCAAGAGGATGCACTCAGACGAGCCCAAGCCCATGGCCACGTAGAGCTGGGCCACACAGCCACCGTAGCTCATGGTTTTGTCTGTCTTATTCATGGTAACCAGCAACTGTGGGGCAACACTGGTGGTAAAGCAGATGTCCACACACGAGAGGTTGCTGAGGAAGAAGTACATCGGAGTGTGGAGTCTGGAGTCCAGACGAGACACTAGTAAGATGGCAGTGTTCCCCAGAAGGCTCAAGATGTAGAAGAACAAAATGATGACAAAGAGAAACCTCTCTAGCTGAGGTTGATCTGAAAATCCCAGGAGAAGAAACCCCTTTTCAGAGCTGTTGTTGGTTTCCTCCATTTTCCTGCCGCTTCAGAACACGTCAGCTTCAAATACCAAGTGATTAATATCTGGAGGAGAGAAAGTAATGAGGTCAAGACTGGTAATCCACAATCGTTTACAGTATGATTCTGTTCCTTATGTATCTCCTAAAACATGTTGTGAAGACCTAGAGAACTTTCCTCAACATAAATCCATGGGCTGGAAATGCCACTTCCTTCTATGTTTATTGAATGAAGTTTTACTCAAATGACAAAAGTATTGTATTAACTTTTGTTTTGATATTTGTATTTACTCACTCTTTGCTTATTCTTGTACTTTGCCGATTTTTACACGGATATATTTGTATGTTGAAATGCTGTATTTATGCAGTAAAGCAACTGACCCAATGTCCTTTCTAATCAAATATTTTGTTACATTTATACAAATATATATATTTTTTGAGATGGAGTCTTGCTCTGTCACCCGGACTACAGTGCAGTGGCGTGATCTCTGCTGACTGCAACCTCTGCTTCCTGGGTTCAAATAATTCTCTTGCCTCAGCCTCAAGAGTAGCTGAGACTACAGGCGTGTGCCACCATGCCCAGCTAATTTTTGTATTTTCTTTTGTTTTTTGAGATGGAATCTCTGTCTCCCAGGCTGGAGTGCAGTGGTGCAATCTCTGCTCACTGCAAACTTCACCTCCTGCGTTCAACTAATTCTACTGCCTTAGCCTCCCAAGTAGCTGGGATTACAGGTACAGGCCCCACGCCCAGCTAATTTTTGTATTTTTTTTTTTTTTTAAGTAGAGATGCTGTTTCACCATGTTGACCAGGCTGGTCTCGAACTCCTGACCTCAGGTGACCTACCTGTCTCGGCCTCCCAAAGTGCTGGGATTATAGGCATGAGCCACTGTCCATGGCCTCAGTTTTGTATTTTTAGCGAGATGCTGTTTCACCATGTTGGCTAGGGTGCTCTTGAACAACTGACCTCAAGTGATCCACCTGACTCAGCCTCCCAAAGTGCTGGGGTTAGCAGGCATGAGTCACCGCGCCCAACCTCCATACAAATCTTGACTAATATTCACAAGCTACTATCAAAGTGATATTGTCAAATGCCAAGTCAAAATAAAATGGAGAATTTATAAAATGAAATGTGTGTATGTTACTCTATATGTATAATAGTTGTCTAGGTAAAATTACATCAAAAGCCAAAGCAAAATTAAATTTTTCTTTTTCAATTATACTTTAAGTTCTAGGGGACATGTGCAGAACATGCAGGTTTGTTACATAGGTATACACGTGCCATGGTGCTTTCCTGCAGCCATCAAACCATCATCTACGTTAAGTATTTCTCCTAATGCTATCCCTCCCCTGGTCCCCCAACCCACCAACAGACCCTGGTGTTTGATGTTCTCCCTGTGTCCATGTGTTCTTATTGTTCAACTACCATTTATGAATGAGAACATGTGGTGTTTGCTTTTCTGTTCCTGTGTTAGTTTGCTGAAAATGATGGTTTCTACCTTCATCCATGTCCACGCAAAGGATGTGAACTCATCCTTTTCTATGGCTGCATAGTATTCCATGTTGTATATGTGCCACACTTTCTTTATCCAGTCTACCGTTGGTGGGCATTTAGGTTAGTTCCAAGTCTTTGCTATTATGAATAGTGCCACAGTAAACACATGTGTCCATGTGTCTTTATAGAATGATTTATAATCCTTTGGGTATATAAACCACACTGCCCAAAGTAAATTATAGATTCAATGCTATCCCCATCAAGCTACCATTGACTTTCTTCACAGAACTAGAAAAAACTACTTTAAATTTCATATGGAACCAAAAAAGACCCTGCATAGTCAAGACAATCTTAAGCAAAAAGGACAAAGCTGGAGGCATCACACTACCTGACTTCAAACTATACTACAAGGCTACAGTAACCAAAACAGCATAGTACTGGGACCAAAACAGAGATATAGACCAATGGAACAGAACAGAGGCCTCAGAAATACTACCACACATCTACAACCATCTGATCTTTGACAAACCTGACAAAAACAAGCAGTGGGAAATCAGTTTCATGTTTAATAAATGGTGTTGGGAAAATTGGCTAGCCACATGCAGAAACCTGAAACTGGACCTCTTCCTTATATCTTATACAAAAATTAACTCAAGATAGATTAAAGACTTCAATGTTAGAGCTAAAACAATAAAAACCCTAGAAGAAAACCTAGGCAATACCATTCAGGAGACAGACATGGGTAAAGACTTCATGATGAAAACACCAAAAGCAATGGCAACAAAAGCCAAAATTGACAAGTGGGATCTAATTAAAATAAAGAGCTTCTGCACAGCCAAAGAAACTACCATCAGAGTGAACAGGCAACCTACACAATGGGAGAAAATTTTTGCAATCTGTCTAAGGTCTAATATCCAGAATCTACAGATAACTTAAATTTACAAGAAAAAAAAACCCTCAAAAAGTGGGTGAAGGATATGGACAGACACTTCTCAAAAGACATTTATGCAGCTAACAAACATGAAAAAAAGCTCATCATCACTGGCTTTAGAGAAATGCAAATCAAAACCACAATGAGATACCATCTCACACCAGTTAGAATGGCGATCACTAAAAATTCAGGAAACAACAGATGCTGGAGAGGAGGTGGAGAAATAGGAATGCTTTCGCAAAATAAGTTTTTAAAAGTAAGTGAAAAAAGAAGACCAAGAAAAATTCCATAGCTGTGTGTGGAGTGCAGAGTGCTTCCCTACCTTCTGAAGTCACAAAAAGATGATGCCAAATCAGGCGTTTTAATTGTGTGTAACTTTAGTAGCAGGGGAGAAAGAGAAACTGAACAAATATTAAGCTAATGGGTAACTTACACTCTATGATTTTTGTAACTTTCCAATATGTTTATGTTTTTGTGTTTGTGTATGTGTGTACACGATATAATTAGGGGGCAATTCGGAGATTGCATTATTTCTGTAACTATATATAGATTTCTTTGAGGCCAGAAGTTGTGGAATTTAAGACTTTCTTTTCCTTAAGAGAATGAAGCTATACAGAAACCTTCTGTGATGAGGAATTGTGTAAAACCATCGTTGTTTGAGCTAGAATTATTTAGGGGAAAGACAAAAAATCATTTGATCCTCAAAGCACTTTGTTCATTCCCTCTGTTACTATTGTTGTTAATAAAGTTAAAAATAAGTAGAAAGCTGAAACTGGATCCTTTCCTTACTCCTTATACGAAAATTAATTCAAGATGGATTAGAGGCGTAAATGTTAGACCTAATACCATAAAAACCCTAGAGGAAAACCTAGGTAATACCATTCAGGACATAGGCATGGGCAAGGACTTCATGTCTAAAACACCAAAAGCAATGGCAAC